CGGCTCCGGCATTCCCGCGGCGCCGGCACACGCAATTCCTACCTGTTGGATTCCTCCCCCCGGTAGTAATCGGCTGCCTGCTCGTAGTGGGCGATGGCCTGGCAAAGCATGGGAAGGGCTGGAGCGAATCCCAGCGCATCCCTACGGAGCGGCCCCCGCCGCCATCTGCTCCGTGCGGAGCCCAGGGTGGGAATGGGGATGGAGCCGCTGCTCCCGCGTCATTCCCAAGGGCAAAGCCTGACATTGAGTGGCCAATGGCAAATCCCAACGTTATTCCACAAGGGAAAATCCCTACTTCTAACCACTAAGGGCGAATCCCAGTGTTATTCCATGAAGGTAAATCCCTGCATTGAGGCTCCAAAGGCAAAATCCCAACGTTATTCCAGAAGGGAAAATCCCTACTTTTAACCACTAAGGGCGAATCCCAGTGTTATTCCATGAAGGTAAATCCCTGCATTGAGGCTCCAAAGGCAAAATCCCAACGTTATTCCAGAAGGGAAAATCCCTACTTTTAACCACTAAGGGCGAATCCCAGTGTTATTCCATGAAGGTAAATCCCTGCATTGAGGCTCCAAAGGCAAAATCCCAACGTTATTCCAGAAGGGAAAATCCCAATGTTATTTCCCAAGAGCAAATCCCAACATTAAATCTCCAAAGGCAATTCCCGATATTATTCCACGTGGGAAAATCCCAATCTTTAATCCCTAAGGGCAATTTCCAACGTTATTCCATGAAGGTGAATCCCTGTATTGAATCTCCAAAGGCAATTCCCAATGTTATTCCACAAGGGAAAATCCCAATGTTATTCCCTAAGGGAAAATCCCGGCATTGAGTCTCCAAAGGCAATTCCCAATGTTATTCCCTGAGGGCAAATCCCACCATGGACTCTCCCAGCAGCTCCTCCGGGAATGCTGGGACACCCCCCACCCCCCCCCAAGGGTTATTCCCGGGAGCTGTGGCTGGAATTCTTCTGGGAATAACAGGGAGAACAGCCCCGACTTCACTCGGAGCTGGAATTCCCCCCACCGGGATGTGGGATCCATCGCAAAAAGCCTGGTTTATCCCTTGGGATTACCAAGCTAAGCCCCATGGAGCCGGAATTCCCGGAGCTCCGGGGCCGGAATGCCAATCCCAACCTGGAGCCAATCCCAAACTTCCACTGGGAAGCAGCAGGAACAGCCCAAAGGTGCCGGTGGGACCAAGCTGGGATTCCCGGGCGTCCCCTTTGGAATCCAAGCTGGGATTCAGGGACTATCCCGCGGCATTCCCAGCTTTTCCTTTACCTTCTCGATATCCACCAGCTCCGTCTCGTAGATCTCGGCTATGGAGACGTGGTGCTTGGCAGCGATGGTGAAGCGCCCCTGGGAGCGGTGGGATAACGGGAATGGCGCCTCCGGAGCGGCATTCCCGGTGTATCCGGAGCTGGAAAAGCCCCGGAGCACTCACCATGTCCGTGTAGATCTCAATGGCTCGCAGCAGGCAGTTGATGGCCTCTGTAGGGACAAAGAGCAGATCCCAATAGATCCACGGCTGATCCCAACTTCCAGACGTCCATTGGGGATACAAGGAAGAGGAGGGAAGGGAATGGGGGAGCCGATGGTTTGGGATGTGGGAAAAGACTAGGAAGAGACCTGGAAAGGGGCTTTGATAAGGGCGTGGAATGCTGGGATGGGGAGGAACAGCTTCCAAAGGGTTGGCTGGGATATCGGGAAGAGGTAGATGGGATACTGGGAAGTTCTTCCCTAGGAGGCTGCTGGGACACTGGGATGAATGGAGAAGGTTGGGATGCTCCAGCCCTGCCAGTATCCAAGGAACAACCAATGGAAGTCCATGGAAAGGGCTGGATCTGGAGGAGCCTCATCCCAAACCATTCCATGACTCCTCATCCATCCTTGAGGATTTGAAGGAGACCCCAAACCTCCCCCCCCCACTTTGGGGTTTAATCCCAGGGATTTATCCCATCCCTGGCGCCGGTTGGGAATGCTCATCCCAAGATCCTGCAGCATTCCAGGTGCTGCCATGGGGTAGGAGGGAATTGCTGCAACCAAATGCTGGATCCCGGTGAGGATCCCTTGGGATTCAATGTGTTATCCCAAAGGGACCCGGATAAGCCCAGGGGCAGCGGGAATACCGGGATCGCTTGATGGGGACGGCAAAGCTTAGATCCAATTCCCCACTTTGGGATACTCCAACTTGTAAGCGGAGCCACCAGGAGGAGAAGCTGCTCCGTAACCCTGGAATGGCTCCATCCCAACAGCTGCTCCGAGCGCGGAGCCAAGCGAGGTGCGATCCAAGCCGGAATCACAACCCAACCCTTCCGGCTCCAGCCATCTGCTCTCCATAGGGATTCCCACATGGAAAGGGCACTTTTCCAGCCCTGAAGCGCCTCATACGGACTCGCATCAAGCTGTTGGGACACCGGGATAACACCCCCAAAAGGGGGGAGGGGAGGCAAATCCCATTGGATACCCCCAGAGCGTGGCCTCGGGAAGCGCAAAGGAGCGGGATTGGGCTGTTTTCCCGGGAATGGGGGAAGGAAAAGCCAGGCTTTACCCTGCGGATCCGCCTTCTTGAAGGCATTCCCGGCATCCACGAAGCTGGTGGCGGCGTCGTG